TACACATCACTATCAGCCAAAAAATGAGAAGTCAAGATTGGGACAAGATTGATAGCCTCTCTTACAAAAAGATGGAAAAAGAAATGATGAACCACACAGCCAGACAAAAACAGAAATTCAACAAATGCCAAACAAGCCAACAGAAACCTACACTAGACACCACATGCATCATCATCAACCTATCGGGACGCCAACTCTCCCCAGAAGAAACCTCAGTCTGAAGCCAAGGAGGAAATTTTGCAGTAACACCAGCAAAATTCCTGTGGAAGACATAATTCAACAACCATTAAGATGACCCTCTAATTTTGATCCTTGCTGGAGGCGGAGGAGCAATCAATGGGCAACCGTGAGGACTTGACTGCTCCTCCACCTCCGCCTCCATCTCCTGCTGCTGCTGCTTCCGCCACCCGATCGCCTCCTCCAGTGTAACTGCCAGGGTTCACCTCCAGCTTACGTCACTGCCTTGTCCCCTGCTTGAAGGGAACCCGCAAGGGGCACTGGGGGAGGCGATCTGGCGGCGGCAGCAGCAGTCAATGGGCAGCAGCGAGAGGCAGCTGAGCACAACTACTCCTTTGCCTCCGTCTCCGCCTCCTCCTCCTGCTGCCTCCGCCACCAGATTGCTTCCTCCAGCGCCACTCACGGGCTCCCTTCAGGCATGGGACAAGGTGGCAACATGCCTGGAGGTGAGCCCCGGAAGGCGGAGGCAGCAGTCAATGGGCAGCCGCAAGAGGTGGCCCAGCACAGCTGCTCCTCCACCCGATCACCTCCTACGACTGCCAGGGCTCACCTCCAGCTCACGTCGGTGCCTTGTCCCCTGCCCAAAGGGAGACCACAAGTAGCGCTGAAGGAGGTGATCCGGCAGCGGCGGCAGCAGTCAATGGGCAGCCACGAAAGGCAGCCAAGTGCGGCTGCTCCTTTGCCTCCACCTCTGCCTCCTTCTGTGTATAAAATGACCCACAATTTTTTCTCTAATAATTTTAGGAAAAAGTGTTGTTTTATACATGGAAAAATATGGCAATAAAAAGCTGTAATTGTGCAGGTGCCTCAACCATTTACAGTGGACCCTCTACCTACAGAATTAATCCGTATTGGAACGGTGGCTGCAAGTCGAAAAGTCTGTAGGTCCAATCTCCATTGACCTACAATGCATTGAAAACCAATTAATCCCATAACTGGCAGTTTTTATTCTATTTTTGTTCCATTTTGGGTTTTTTCTGGTCTGTAAGTCGATTCTCCGGCTGCAAGTCGAATCTAAATTTTGCGGCCAGAGAAGTCTGTAACTCGAAAAGTCTGTAAGTCGAGCCGTCAGTAAGTCGAGGGTCCACTGTATATGCTAAACAAATTACAGCAGTTACTACTCTTAACCCCCTCAGAATACCTTGTGTAGGATAACACCTTAATTAGAACCAACTAAAATGACACAAAACAGTGAGAAAGCTTTTAGGTTCTCTCAGTGACAACCGAGGATTAAAGAATGGGTGTTAGAGGAAACAACAGACAGAATACAAACTAGGCGAAATCACCTAATGGTCAGAGAACATGCAACCATATCACCAAGTATTGTGTCACAAATTCAGATGAAGGGCTGTGTTCTCAAAACTCTAACAATAGAATCTGAGATATAATATGATTACAAATAAGGAGGAATGCCACAAAATCCAAACCAAGGGAATAGCATTAAAGTCACAAATGATGGTAAGCAAGAGCAAAGTGATGCATAAGGTGGAAGCAATTCTAATTCATCCAAGTACTGGAGTCTTGGACATGTCTAATCAAGAAGGCACTATTGGGTCGAGATGACTTGCTTGATTAAAACACTGATTCAGTGTACTGTGCAAGAGAAATCGTTAGGAATGGAACTGAACGTATTACTAAGAAATGTCATGCCATTATACCTTCTTATATTTCAACCACACCTTAAATCTTGTGTGTTAATCCAGTAATTCTCATCCAAAAGGATGCTGGAAAAGGTGCAGAAAAGAAACAGTGGTTTGTAACATTTCCACTATGAAAAAACATTATCTTTTGGATGTTTTTTACCTTAGGAAGAAATGCATCATGTGGTATAAGCAATAGGGAATTTTTCTCCACCTCATTTAAGAGCAGAATAGAGTGTGATCCAGTTGCAACTGAATGTATATTTATTTCATTTATATCCTGCCTTTTCCAAAGGAGCTTACAAAGCAGCAGGGGACAAAAGATATACGAAATACTTTTTAAAAAAGGAACATTAAAAGTTCTTAAAATTTAGAGTAATTGAAATCAACAACCACACACGTTTTTTAAAAAGTTTTAAAAAGGAAAAGGAAACGGCAGCATTTCCTGTTGAACACTCCTTTTCTTGCAACTCACTCAGCAGTGAAAAGCAAGCTGAAATAGAAATGTCTTTGCCTGCCAGTAGAAAGAGATCAACTTAAGCGCCCTTTACAAGAGAGTCCTACAGCCTTAGAGTGATGAATGATAGGAGACTTTGTATAAATAAAAAGAGGCACTTAACAACATTTTGTACATTTAACTGATGTGCTGTGTCATGACCACCAAACTGAGAATTATGTAAATCTGTTTGAACCTACTAGGAAGAAATGTCCACAGGTGAATTGCTATGACAGAAAAGACCTTAGTGTTCCCAGCCAAGCTCATCTGGCACAAATGCAGAGTTCCAGTGTGATAAACTTAAGGTGCATATACACTCCTATGGAACTAAGTGACCCTTGAGACATTCTAACAAGCACGTCCACATCATCAGATAAAATAAGTCCATCTATTAGAACCAGACAATCAGGTACATCAGGCATCTCCAAGAGATTTGTTGTCCATTTCAAATCTAAATTAGAATAGATGTGAATTATTTTACCAGCAAAGTACTTTGCAGACTCATCACAGAAAACTCCTTAGGGTTAACCAGCACAACTTTAGGATACAGATTGCAACAGCACTTTCATCACTTGAAACAGCTTACATGGATGACACTACTAATGCAATCAAAGCATACAGAACACTGTCTCCACCACCAGGGAATAAGCTTAAATGTGATCTCTCATCTGAGTACTGTACAGTGCAATTCATTCTGAGTCTTCAGTACTGCTTCAGATGTCTCACCGTATTTCATTAACCCACAGCTTCCCTGAAAACCAAGGCAATTCAGCTCAATGTGAAAATGGAAATGAAAGTAACTCTCCCCCCCTCCCGCAAGAAATCCTTCTGGATCCAGAGGGTAGATCATTTTAATAGGCCCCTATTCCTGTAAAACCTAGTATTCTCAGAACAGTGATTTCTGCATAAGAGGTTTCATCATTAAATCAGCTGGTCCACTATAAGATTTAATTAATTAATTAACTAATTAATTAATTTCATTTCAATGCCACCTTTCTCCCATAAACTGTCTGAAGGTAGCTCAGAATAAATTAAAATGTGAATCAGAGGAATTTTCCCAATCAATGATTTTATATTTAACAGCAGAGGTTTTGAACTTGATGGATTACAAAGTAATCTTTCAGTTGAGAAGTGAACTACAAAAGGAAATATTTACAATATGTCTCCTTCAAAGGATATTAGGTAAGTCATTGTGGGTAAAGAAAGGTGAAAAAAGTTGTCTTTGGTCAAATCAAGAGTCTTATGCTAAACACCATGGTTGAAATCCTGTTGGGTGGATCCACTTGCACAATAGTAATGACGTCAAAGGAAGTGGCAAATTACTGTTGATTAAGGCTTCCTTTTGTGGTTTTGAACTGCACATAACTTTGTCACATTGTGTATGAGCTTTGCATACCTCAAAACTGCAAAATGAAGCTTTAATCTGTGGGAATTTGCCCATACCACTGATGGTGGTCTTCTTGTGTAGACAGAGCTGCGGGATAGGATTTTAATCCATGTAATATTATGAAACTGGACCTCAACTAACTTTATCTAGTGCATTTTCTAGGATCACTGGTTTTGCTGACACATTTTTAAAATATTTCTAAACTAGAGCAACACAGTAGCAAAATGTGCAAACAGATTACGATAACTTTTAATTAGACATAACTTTTTATTTTATCCCTACTAAAATGGTTATATCTATACAATTTCCTGTATTTGATCCTGTTCTGAGAAAAGAAATTTTATCATTATTTGGGAAGGTATTAAAGCTTTCATCCTTGAGAAGGCAGTGTGTAAAAGCAGGAGACCATTGATCAATAACTTTCTAAGAACATAATACCATTAGAGGAATCAGGTTTTTAAAGGAAGAATGCTATGTTTCTACTGCAGATACAAATGAGGAGATAAAACAAAGTTTTCCTTAGCATGAGAGATGTGACTATGCATGCAAATTGATTACATTACCTCTTAAACTGATTGTATGTATGAATCTGCTATCACATAGGCAAAAGCATTGTGGGGCTCTAATGTTTTCACTGATAAAGTACATTAAAAAGTCCTTTCTTTTTTAGGAGGCAATGTAGAATGGAGTGCCTTGATTTGGCCCCATCTAGTAAGTATTCACAGCTTTTGTATTTCCAGCATCAAACTACAAATTGTTCCAAATGAAGAAAATGACCTCTTCCAAATGAGCCCATTATTGGGGAGGTACATCACTCCTGTTAAACTTTTAACCAACAATACTCTAACCATATCCTAAACATTTTAAGCAACAATCCTTTAACCATATCAACAGTTAGATGCCACTAAACTACAGGTGTACCTCAGTTTACGTACACCTTGGTTTACGTAATTTTCAGTTTACAAACCAAAATCCATAAGAAATAATGCCTCGGTTTACGTTTTTTACTGGGGGGGTCACTGTATGAAAAGGACGGATCATGCCTGGAGGTTTCTAGCGCCGCCCGTTGCTACGGCAATCCACGTTCCAGTTTATGTAATTTCCGCATTACATGACAGGTACTACTGTAGTATGAGGCAAGGACACAAAAAACCCTTAAAGAATGCTTCCTTCCAATACTCAATTCTAATTCATTTTGAAAAAAGAAAACTTTACTCATTAAATTGATTGTCTGCCTTACCTACTGCAGGTGCATCATATTCATCCCCAAGTAGAATTTCAGGAGCAGAATATGCAAGGGATCCACAACTTGTTGTTAGTTTCTTCCCAGGCTGAAATTTGTTGCTGAAGCCAAAATCAGTCAATTTCACAAGTCCTTGTTTTTCAAAGAAAACAACATTCTCCGGTTTTAAATCTCTGTGAACCACATGAAGTTTATGGCAGTAGGATATAGCATGAACAATCTGAGCAAAATATTTCTTTGCCAGGTCTTCATTAAGACCTTCTTCATGTTTCATAATGTAATCAAACATATCTCCTCCATCACCAAGTTCTAAAATCAGGTAAAGTTTGGTCTGGGTGTCAATAACTTCATACAGGCGAACAATATTGGGATGCTGCACTAATTTCATGCATCTAACTTCTTGGAAAAGATGTCCTGTAGCTAGAGTATCTAGCTTGGTCTTGTCAATTACTTTCACTGCTACCTTTTCACCTGTAAACACATGTCTGGCAAGTTTGACCACAGCAAAATGCCCTCTGCCTAAGGTTTTATCCAAATCGTACAATCCAGCAATTTTTCCATCATAACCTCGTTTGAAACCTGCCATACTGCTCCAAGTATGAATACTGATGCTTTCGGAAACTTGTCTCTTCTTATATAAGGGTAGGAGATGCTCCACTCATTTTCACTGCCAAACGCATCTGGAAATAAAAGAGAAATTATTAAACAATGCAAATTTACTTAAATTTAGAATACAGTATTTCCAGTTCTATGAAAGCTGATCTTCGTGAGCTTGAAATACCTAAGCTTAAAAGGACTTTTTTGAACAGAGTTGGAGTATCTAATTCAGAGTTGTATCTTGCAACACGCACAGAAATACAAAAGCATTTTCTACAAAATTCCAAAGTAGCCAGATTAGTTAGTTAATACATACACAAACAGGAATGTCAGGAAAAAGGAGAAAACAAATGTAATTCCATTTAAATTTCATCAAAAATTTACTGTTTCATGTGCCTAAATACCCTATTGCATAGCCATAGGGTATTTGATGAAACTGATCTAAAAACCCATAGAACAAATTAGTCTGTACATATTCGCATGCCTATTTGATATACTGAAATAATCCAGTAACAACATCCTAAATAAAATTATGGTAAGATAATTCAAGGACATTACTGTGTCCACAGTCTTAATGTCATTGATAACCAGTTAGGAAGGGGGAAGATCGGTATGCTTGACATGCAGTTTGATTACGTAAAAATATAATTTTCTGAAAACCACTGGTAAAACTAAGATTATTATATGCAATTAAATCCCAGTATAACTGCTTCCAAATTCAACAATGCAGAGTAAAGCTACATTCTATGTCCCATTCATACCAATGGCAAAATTTCTATGATTAGAAAACCATTTCACATTTGCTAAATTGCCATTCTTAGCATATGCTTATAATCTGAGATGTTGACCAAAAACAAAACCAATTTGTTCTTTAATATAGTTTATTACTACAACACAATTTACTTCAAGAAACTCCCAATATCCTTAACTCACATGCTTATTTTATAATGATACTGATGTATCTCTTAGACAAACAGTAAGATATGTAATCATATAAAATCCCTCTCTTACCAAACAGATCTTGGAAGTCGTATGAAACGAGTTATGGAGCTATTATTAAAGGCAGTGCAAACAGAGCATTAGGCAGACTCTAACAATGGGACATGTTTTATTTGGACGAAGTTTTTTAAAATTTTATTTAACATATACAGTGGTGCCCCGTATAGCGAGGTTAATCCGTTCCGGATTAACCCTCGCTATACGGAATCATCGCTAAACGGGTAGGGGAAAGGTATTGGAACGCATTAAACTTCGTTTAATGCGTTCCAATAC